TTTATAGATGGCACCTTCCTCCTTCAAGATTAGCGAAGATGCACCCCAATATGAGTCCGAATTGCTGGAAATGCAAAAAAAAGAGGGAATTTTTTCCCATATGTGGTGGTCCTGTACAGAAGCTCAAAAATATTGGCAGAAAATTAGAAATTGGCTGGAAGAAATGACAGGAGAACAGATTGAATTCAAACCAGAGTCCTTTCTGTTAGGGATCTTTGATAAATATCAAAAAAGTGAATATATAATAATACACATTTTGACAGAGGCCAGATTGGCTTTTGCACAATGTTGGAAGCAGCCTCATGTTCCATCAGAGGAGATGACCATTCAAAAAATTTCAAGTTGTGCAGAAATGGACAAATTAACTTTGGCATTAAAAAATAAAGACACTTCAATATACTACAACAGCTGGAACTGCTGGTACAAATGGATAGGCCAAAGATAGACTTCACACTAAAAGGCAAAAGAGGATAGGATAAATCCATAAGTAGTGATACACAGATATATGTAAGGATTAAGTGTGTGTGTATATGGCATAAAATAAGGATAAAAAAGAGGTCTTACAAACTGTTGAAGGTGAGAATGTTTTTAATTTTCTATTTTTTTCTTTCTATTTTCTTCTCCCTTTCTTCTTTTTCTCTCTTTCATTTATGTATGTGTTGTTGGTTTGTTTTAATTGTAAAATCAATAAAAAAAAATTTTAAAAAAAGTTAAGGTTTCCCGTCTAGTCTTGTCTGACTACAGGGACAATGCTCATCTCTGTTTCTTAGCTGAGGGAGCCAGTGTTGTCCAAAGACATTTCGAACATTTCCCTGGTTATGTGCCAGCATGTCAAGGTGTATGGAATGCTGTTACTTTCCCATAGAAGCAGTACCTGTTTATCTACTCGCATGTGCATGCTTTCAAATTGTTAGGTGGGCAGGAGCTGAGCAAGTAATGGGAACTCATCCCATCATGCAGCACTCAGGTCAGCTTTTTGCTGACAAGCTCGTCATCTTTAACAGCTGAGCCACTGTGCCCCTTTCATGCCTCTCATGGTTGTGACATTTACGACTGACTGCAGCAATGATGGTGATTTGCAACTTTTGTTACTGATTTGCTTAGTGACCACTTGAAATACAGTCACATAATCAGGTCCAACTTGACCTCAACAACTTATGCAGAAATTCTAGCCCCCATTGTCGTTGTAAGTCAAGTTCTACTTGTAAACCACATACTACAAAACAATATTGATAAGAAAATAAAAATACTAGAATATAAAACTGTTTTTCTAACAATGCAAATTTCAGAATTCTTTATAAATATTTACAATTATTCTAAATGCTAACAATCACACATATCTTTATAAAGCATTATAATGATTTACTTCAGGAAGAGGCAGTATACAAATTCTACAAAAGTGCTTGCTCCCTATTTCAGCTGTAGCATTGGTTTCTATCTATGCTGGCTGGGAAATTCTGGAAATTGAAATTAGAATAACAGAATAACAGAGTTGGAACCGACTTTGGAGGACTTCTAGTCAAGCAGGTCTTCTAGCTCAAGCAGGAAACCCTATACCATTATAGATAAAGGATTGTCCAATCTCTTTTTTAAAAACTCCAGTGTTCTGGAGGCAAGTCATTCCACTGTCAGGAAATTTCAGACAGAACAATTCATCAGGAATTGTTCCAGTCAGGAAATTTCTGACTGGAACAACTTGTCTTCAGAAGTCCATCCATTTTAAAATTGCTGAAGTTGAGAAACAGCTTATCAAGGTTTCAAATAATACGCCCATAGCAAACAGAACTCCAAGGCAAGTAGGTTCCTCAAAGAATAGTTTTATTGGACATAACATATTGGCACAGCCTGGTGAAAACCAACTCTGAATGTTCCCATGGTTTTCACCTAATTAAAGGAAAAGGTTTTCCCCCTTCCCCAAACAATCAGTCACATGATCCAAAGTGCTGTCCAGTTGCCTGGTAACTTCACTCCTCAATCCAACCACCTGTGGAGATGTCCTTTGTTCCCAGGAGAGTGTTTTGTTTTGGCTACAAAACCCACAGCTGTCTCTATTCCCCTCTCCCTGTCCCTCAGCTCCAGTGTGGCAACTCTGAAGCTTCAAAATGGCCTCGGCCAGGCCAGTTTCAGGGTTGACGCTACTGTAGCACCCCTCCTCCTTTTCTTCCATTGTCCACTGTTCTTTTGGGAATCACTGACAAATATATCTCCAAGCCCATGGCTAAGATGAGAAATCAGTCTCTGCCTTTCATTCTTACTAAGTTATGTAAACCAATTAATCCTGATAAGCATTGTTCACTAGGAATCAATAATACTGACTCAAAGCCAAAAATATACATGTATAGTTACGGAAATTGGGATAGATGAAGGATGTAGTGGTATGCAGGAATGAGCTTGTGAGGCATGCAGACCAAACCATGTCAGATAAGAGGTGGTTGCCCCAGAGAAGGAATAGGAACATGACAAAGTAGGGACCTTAGACTGTAAAAGTGGAGAGAGATGTACTTTCAAATGTCAGTCTATATTCTGTTAATATAATTCTACAACAAAATAGAGCTAGGTACTTCTGGGTGTGCTTCTTGTCTGGAGTACCTCACAAGGCTGACAATGGCAGTAGTTATTTTTGGCCTACCTCACATCTTTAGATTGTTTCTGGCCCCCACCAATGCACTACAGGAACATAAACTTAGTGCTTGGTCCATATGATTCAAGTGCCAATGATCTAACAGTAACTAAACTGTTGCCATTAAGTAGAAGCACAAGGTGATTGGAAAATGCCCAGCTGATGGAATCACTATCTAGAGAAGGGTGGTCAGGTATGATAAACACTCTGTCTTTGAAAGGCTGTGATGTTGCATATGGGGGTTCCTACCCTCAGATGATGAGCCAGGAGTGTTCCTCATTATGAGCATTCAGCCTTCTAGGAGCATGTGATGTCATCACCAGGAATGAAATGTGAAACTATCTTTCTCCTTATGTAGATACTCTCTCAGTTGCTGTCAATTTGCTACTAAACTACGTGGATTAATATAAGGATTTGCTAGCAGAATAAGGGCCCCAAGGAAAATTGTCCTACATTTTGTAGGAAGTCCTCCTGGACTCATTTTTTACACACACACACACACCCATCCATTGCTGCCTGCCTAATGAGTCAGATATTGTATAGCATTGCCAGTATTCTTGCGGTGCAAAGACTCATGGGGTACTAGGAATTTCCTGTCTCCACTGTGCAAGGCACTGTTAACTCCCAAACTGCCAACTTATAACACAGTAATGTATGCGTTGCTGCCAAAGACATCAGTAAGGAAAATGGATGAGGTTAGCAGCTATCCATATTAGGTTTGTAAAAGTAGGAACTGATTTAGACTGTAAGCAGTCTAACTTCTGATGCAGCATATATTTTGTGGCTAGAAATCTTAACTAGAAGTCCAACAATATTAAAAGTAGCAGACGTTGCCGAACTGCATGCCCACATACCAGAACAAATGAACTGTAGTGATTAGCATAGTGTGTGAATCCAGAATTCTATCTATGAAGGAAAAACTAGCAGCTGAAACAGTTCTGAGCAGGAAAAAGGCCCGTCATATGACAAAATCCCCCTAAACTTAATGCTAACGACTTTGAGGCATTTTTTAAATAAACTTCTAGGCCATTTATTTTGCTTTACATGTTTAACATATTCTCTTTGCTTTTACACTAAATTTGATTTCATTTTTATTTTAAAAAGTTTACATTGCTCCTGAATTCTACGCAATGGGAAGTGATACAGAAATAATTTTAAACATTGATAGCTGGTGTGCATTTATTACCAAATACATAAATTGCAATTGGCTTCCCCCAGAGGATATAGGGATTTCACGATCTTGCCTCTCATGTTAACAAATTAAATGCCACGTTACGCCTATGTAATGTAATGCAAAATGACATTGTCCAAATGTAGAATAAAACTTTTTCTCTGGTGAATTTCACAAAATTCACAGGCAGGCAGGCTCCCTGCCTATTAAAAATTTGTTTCAGGAACAACCACTTCTTACTTACTATCTATCTGATTGGATGATCAAAAGAAACTAAAATAATTTCCCAAGTCTTGATTTGCACAGCTAGATGGGTCTAAATTTAGTATAAATCTTTAGAGTTAAGATGAAATATAATTAGCATTCTCTAAAATCTGTATATGTCTTCATGTCAGTTAATACCATTGTGACTTTTACTGTCTGAGTAAATGTGAATAATTATTAATGTGAATATTTTCCAGTGTACTATATTTTAAACTGCTGCAGTTACTTTTATTGCTTTATTGCTTTGTTTTATAGTAGATCATTTTACTGAATTGTTTTATTGAATATTGTTTACTTTACTTCTGTGCATTGCTTTGGGTCAGAAAAAAAGGCAGCATAAAAATAAAGTAATACTTTATATAGTTGACAAAGCATTTTGCTCGGTGACTATTCTACTTGCTGTTGTGTCAAAAAGACAGCTTAGGGATGGGTGGAAGCAAAACTCCACCTGAATGATGATTAAAAAGATGTTACCATCAAGGGAATCTGTTTGATCATTTTATATAAAGCTTCAGTATGATCATGCCGAATATTAAATTCCTTAATCTTAATATCTAAAATTCAGATTAAAAATGCATGTGTATCAGCTACAAGTACTGAGCAGTAAAAAAAAAAGTATTCTGCATTTCCTTGCTGTTATCTGATAGTTATGTGAATTTATGGAGCCCAGATCTGACAGATTTAATGCATATAATCATTCCTTGGTATCTGTCATTATAGTAAAGCAGAACAACTATTAACATTAAGATTTTAAATTTCTTGCACACAAAATCATTTTGATTGGTTTATATAATAGAAGTACATTACATATTTGCAGACTGCTGACTTGTAAGATGAAACAAATCTTATAAAACTCTCTGTGCCAAAGGAAGCATTAATATGTGACAAGAAATTGTATTTGCATTAATATCTGAATTACCATTCTAAAACATTTCAAGCCTCATCACAAGATAATAGCATTTTATTGGCAGTGGAAAAATGCTTCAGAAATTTATTGAAAGAAAGCAATAAATAATACTGTGATAAAAATAGTTCAAAGTACTTAGACTGTACATAATTTGTTACATTATTCAAAGTACATATAAGGTTAATAGAAAAAATAGTAACAATGAATTCAAGTTGTACAATTTAAAAAGAGCCAAAACAAAAAACAGAAAAAAGACATGCCATGTATATTATTGCATAATAAATAATGCACCATGATCTGAATCTCCTCCTTGCTGGCTTCATAAGATGCTATTTAAAAATTAATGATGCATTTTCTAGTTATACATTTTGCAATGACTAAAAGTATTAACAACTAAAAAGTCTGTCTTGATTTTAAAACAAGCTTATAAATATATCTAAAAGATGACATAAGAAAAGTAAGGCCTTTTTAATAGGTGCACTACCACATGCCTCCGTATGTTATGCTCTTAAGCATCTTTGTCATTAGGCAGCAGTGCATCATGATTGGTCCATTAAAAGAACTGCATCAATAACTTTTCATAAACATTTTCACATCAAAACACAGAAGAGGGAGCACTCTGTGTTGCCTGTCAAGTACTCTTAGTAGCTATTCTTGCTTAACAGAAAATATTTCCATTTATGGCTTGCTTATGCTCAATCAATGAACATAGACTATACAAATACAGCCACAAAAAGTAGTATAAATGACCTTGCTAGGTCTCATGTTTCATAATGTTCTAGAAATTCCCAGATTTATGAATGTAAAGCAAATTATACTAAACAAAAGCCTTAAATAAGAATACACACTAAATAATCAAATGTTATGTTTAAAAGGTACAGTTTCTAACGGAAATGGAATCAGGTACCATGCCTGCTTTGTTAATAAACATATGCCTCTCTGAAAAAAAGGAATTATTTCAATTTTTAGAGCTAGGTAGCATTTTTCAAACGGCAATATATATATACTGCTTGGTGTCATGATGTCTTTACAAAGATTGTAAAAAAAAATTTCACCTTCACTTTATTAAACTCATTACTGGTAATTACAATAACTGCATAATTTACAAGCCCTATATTACTTATAGGGACAGATACATACAAGCCTTACAGTACATTCAGATGAAAATACTAAAATTAACATAAAGTAATAACTTGAGTGACAGACAATTCTAATAGAAAATTAAGTAATGGGACACACATACACCCACATCGGTATAAGAAACATTTAATCTAAAATACTTTTTATAGTACTCACAAATTCACTTGCTAATTAAAAACTCTGTAATAAAATATTTCAAAGTGTTGATTTAACAAGTATTAACAGATTAAAGATTTCAGCTGTTTCCAAAATATGGTCATTGAGTTCAAAATGGTTCAGTTCATCTGTAGAAATAGTGGGGATAAACTGAAAGTAAAATAAACATTAGTTTCAGAACATTAGAAACTGCCGTGAAACAAGAAAGAGCAAGTATGAAAGAAGATAGTAACCTTCATACATCACATTTCAATCCAGAGAGATGAATAAAAAGCTCTCACCATCTGATTACTTGCCACAGGAAAGTGGGAAATAAGATGACACCCATTCCCATGATAAGTAGCAATGTGAAAGGAATTAGGTCTGACAACGGTTACAAGCTACAGGAATGGCTATACTTTATCTCTCAAAATCAACTGTAAATTTAATACAAGGCTGGGAAAGAAGGGATGTGATGAAGTAGAGGGTTTGGATTTATTCTCTGGAGTACCAGAGAGTAAGGCAAGAACCAAGGAGGGTGAAAACTTTAGAGAGAAAGATTCAAACTTCAAATAAGGAGACATTTCCCGACTGTGAGAGCTATTAAGCTATGGAACGGCTTGCCTCCTTAGTCATGAGTCTCTAGCACTGAGGTTTTCGAGAAAAGATTGGACCGCCATTTTTGTGGGATGGACTGCCAAGGTCCCTTACAATCTTATGATTCTATGTCAGGATTACTGGTTCATGTAATCTGCAAACTGATTTATAAATTCATAACTCTGAATATTACACAATGAATTTCTTGTATTCTAATCTTCAATAAGCCACAATCTCTGGAGTAAAACTTTAAACACAATAAATACATATTGTTCATGAGTGTGTCACTTTTACTTACCAATGAAAGTCTTTAACATGAATAAGTTCTTATTGTAGCAGAATCCAATCTTTGTGTTGCTGATACATTGCCTATTTCAACAACAATCAAGAAGACATGCAGAATATAGCATGCGGTTAGTGTTACACAAGAAACTCACAAAAAGTTAACTACACAGAATGAAGCATTCCTGGTTATGTTTTTGCTTTTCCAAGCTTCAGTATATATTTGAAACCACTTCATAATATAGCAGGTATGTTTTGAACATACTGAATGCATGATTAAATGAGTTTTATCGACTGAGCTACACACCCTTCATCTGAACAGGCTAAAATAACTTAAGTTTCTCATCACAGTGTAAAGAGCTACAATTTAAAGGAAGAACATATGGTTTTGAGTATGATCCTGGAAATCTTCAGGCTGGGAAAGACTCCTGTGTGAAATCTTGTAGTTGTAGTACAAGACAATTATTTAAGTCTCTAAATGCAGTAGCTTTTTAACAACATTCAGAGAAGGAGAACCATCACATTGTTAAGAGGCAAGAGACCAATCTATTATTTTATCTTTTGTCAGTATTCTCTAAATAAATGCTAATGCATTTATAAAAAAATAGTATACAGTCAATTGTATAGTATTTATTTTTATATATAAAATTTTATATGTACAAAATAAAGCTTACAATTCTGATTCTAGCAGACAAAACTTGGAGACAGGTACTTAAAAGTCCAAATTACCAGGCACATTTTGTAGCCCCTCATCAACCAATAAACATTTAATCACTGCCTACAGAAAGCAGTCTCTAGGATGTTAACAACACATTGAATAAGGTGATGTGTATTACAGGTTTTAAATCATTTACTAATCATTTTTATTTCATACAGACTTTTTGTCTTCAGAATTCTTTGATTTCTTTAGTATTAGAATACTTGAACTTGAGAACAGTGTCAGTGTGTGTATATAATCTTTTTTAATGCTTTGCTCTGATGAACTGGACATCAGGAGCTATAGAAAATATTTAAATATATTTTGAAGTTTTCACTCTTTAAAAATTAATGATTGACTGAAAAGTAAAAAAAAATTATTTGGGGCTGAATGACTTCAGATACTTGGGAGAAAAATGGAAACAACTGCAAATAATCAAAATAGGAATAAAAAAGCAAAACAAAAAAACAAAAGTAAAATAAAGATGAACAAAATAGTGCTATCACTAAGGGGAAAATTATAGATCAGAATTTTAAAATAACATTTTAACATGCTGTTGAATGCTAGGATTTGCATTATTACAATCTGCTCTCTGTTGGTCTGTCCTTGTATATAATTCAGAAGCTGCAGTTAGTGCAGAGTGCAGTATAGCAAGGCTCTTATCCAGAAGCCATATAATACTGGTCTTACAAGAATTGCACTGAGCACTTTTATTTTGCTGATTGGAGTTCGAGGTTGCTGTAATGTTGATTAAGGCCCTTCATAATTTAGACTCTGATACCTGAAGGACTATGTACCTGTCCAAATCCTTGGCATCTCAAAGATGTGAAAAGAGTGTTGTGCTAGAAGGGCTTTTCTCTGCCATGGCTCCCAGTTGAACCATTCTACCTCTGGACACTGATGTCTACCTTTCAGTATCAAATGACCTTGGTTTTTACTCTCTTACTGAAGACATGGTGTCCACAGATGGCCATGCTAGTAATAATATTTTTTTTAAAAAAATTACTCCTTTTTAATGTAATAATGTATTCTTTGTACATTAAATTTAGGAAAATTTAATGATTGTTCAGAGTTATGATGGACCTGGAAAAAGTGAGTGACAATCCATCCACAAAATTATGACAGTCACACCACCTCCACAGTCATGTGATCACAATTTGGTGCTTCACAACCAGATCACATTTACAACTGTTGAAGTATCTTGGGATCACGTGACCTACCCAGCCAGCTTCAAAATCAATTGGCGAAGCTGAATTGACTTAAAACTGTGATTTGCTTAATGACCACAGGAATTCACTAAATGATAAAATGATTGTAAAATTGGATCTGATCATGTGATCACTATCTTCACAACCACATCACCTAGCGATCAAAATTCCAGTGCCAACAGGGTTATAAGTCAAGGACTGCCTGTACCATATTATACTAGCTTTAATAAATGACACAGGGTATTTTGAATAATGATGGACTATAAATACTTTCAATAAATAAATATCAAATTGTATTTTAGCATTTCCCTGAAAAGATACATTGAAGTTATCTTAATTCTGCAGTAAGCTGATAAACATTTCCATTTTTTTTACTTTTTCTTTTGTAAAAAGTATTTTTAAATGATAGATTTCATTAAACAGAATATATGGATAGCCAATTAATACTAACAGAGCACAAAATACAAATACCAAAATCATTCACTGAGAAATTAAAGCAATCCAGTAAGTCATGCAAAGTGAGTTTTCTACACGAAACAAATGCTTTTCACTTCTTACAAATTAATTCAGAAATAGATAGCATGCTTAAATAATTAATAATTATTTTACCATCAATCTGCATCTTCTTTGGTTGCATAGAAGGTGAAGACATTGAAGTGGTAACTCTAAAATTTGCAGGGAGGGTCTCTGCTGATCCAGCAGCTAAACCCCTTATGTCCTTTGGTCTGAACTTCTTTCTCCATGAAGGTGCACGTCTAAAGCTTTTATCATCATCCTGTCAAATTAACAAGCAGGGTGAAAAAAAATCATATTAGAAAATGAACAAGACACCACAAAATTCCTGTACTTGTAATACATTACAGATGATTATGACAGGTACTGTTGCTGTATCCTTGAAACGTACATTTACATCTTATTGGCCTTTTTACAAGAATTTATGATCAGGATTTTTTTTTAATCCTAATAATATTCCTCTTTCTTTTTATAAAGATAATAATTCATTGCCATATATCTTAGTACTTAAAGTGAACCATTTTTTCTTATCTAGTCTCATAAACAGTAACCAAAAATAGAATTACCAGATTATATGGTAAATCAGTTTTCTGGTTTTTGCTACCAAACTTGATCTCTGTGGGTATACCAGCACTTACATTCTCATAAAAGGGATAATGAAATGCTCTGCATCTGCTGCTTTTAAAAATTATAGGATCAACAATCATATTGATGTTGTGATTGGTTTTATCTGCAAAACTGGTTACTGCAATTATTTAAGATTCTACTTAAGAGTCCTCAACTTATAAATAGCTAAACTGAGGAAGGTGTGGACATTAGGGTGGTAAAAAAAATGCAAAGTAAATTTTGCTACCGGGATTGTCACAGATAAAACTTGAAGAAGAATTTTACTTGGGTCATCATATCCATTTTTGTTTTATAGCACTTGTGTGACTATTTTTCCCCAGTGGCCTCACTTATAGGACTGATAGGTTTTATGGCTGAATCCAGACCATGACCCCAGATTTTGATCAATTGGTATTTAGTAAAAAAGCATGAGATATACAGTAAGAAATCTTGAGGAACTACTGCTGCTTCTTTTCTCTAAAAAAATCTGCTCAGAATTAGAATCTGCTTGATTGTAGCTAATGAAATGAAAATTTGAATGCATTTATAGAAACAGAACAATGAAAAATCTTGAAGATAAATTAATACTGAACTTGTAGTGAAGAAGTATATAAAACCTTCTTGGCGCCATAATAGCAGAAAGAACAATGATGGACCATTAGTTATATGAAACCTTATTACTGGTAGTATCTTTCTGCAGTGAATGTGGTGTCACATGCTTTAAAATTTTTCTGTAAAGAAAGATTTGATGCAGATTATTTTGGCTGCCCATATAAATAATAATAGGCTGGATAGACTCTTAAAATTAAATTTACCTCTTCAAACTTTCTCTCCGTACCCATCACAAGAAGATTATTAAATTCCCTCTCCAAGACAGCACGGGCCTAAATTAAAAACAATTACAAAACTTAAAAATATTTCAAACATTTGAGCTGTTACACTTTGAGAATTTAATTTACAAAATTTATATAATTTAAATATTGTCCAAACAAAATAGTATTTTCCTGGATTTACATCATTCTTCAAATACTTCAAAGAATGTCATATAAAAAGTCAAGATTAGTTTTCTCTCTATTTAGAATGCCAAACTTAGAATAATGGGTTTAAATTGCAGACTGGAAAAACACCTAACAATTACTTTTGACAAGTACAACCAATTAGCCAAAAGTTATAAGCTTCCCTTCATTGGATAGAAACAGAAACTAACCAGCCATCTAACTAGATCAGGGCTGTCAAACTCCCGGCCCATAGGCCGGATATGTCATGTGCTGGCCATGCCCACTTTGGTGAAGGGGGGGAAAAGTCCCGATACATCATGTGACACCGCCATGATGATGTGAGTTTGACACCCCTGAAATAGATTATTTAGTTGGGATTCCTACATTGAACAGGTATTGACCATGATAACCAAAATGTCTGTTGATTTACAACTATTTACATGTTTACAACTATGATTAAAGCTATTACCACCAGTGAATCTGCTTTGCTTTCTGACTGTCACAGCTCTCAGATAAAACACAGTAACAAAAGCAAAGTTCAGAAATGTCAGTTTTTAGTATGAAGTTTTCTTTAAATAGTTAATTTTTAAAAATTCTCATATATAAATCTTACAAAGTTCCAAACGTGCCTTATGAATAGAAACATACCCCACCAAGTGATGCTATTATAATTACCTGTGTATTCTGAGTAGGTATTTGTAAAGAAAGAGCTAATGCATTGTGATCAAAAGTTTCATCTAAGGCCAGAAGTGCACCATGAACTCCACTTTCTATAAGGTTATTTGCATATTCTTTAAGGCCAATTGACACCACCCAGTGAATCATCCTGTCATTGCTCCAAACAAGGACATCTATATGAGGAAAAATAAATATTTAAGTCATAAAATAATTGATCATGTGTACTTGGCAAAGATTAAATGATGAATTCAGATTTCTATACTATTCAATGATACAAGATTCAGTAGAATCTCCAGCTGCCTTCATTGATTTCCCCTTCTGGTACCTCCCACACTATTGCAGAAACTTTCCTAAACCCCGAAAGCAAATCTGCAGAGGCACATGGAGTTAGAGGGAAGAGATGACAAAACTAGTTCTTGTCTTTCTTCCAGTGGAACTATCTTAATAGGTTTTACCAATAATCTGAATAAAAGCCCAATATTTACGGGGGTGGGGGTGGAGGAAAGAATGGCTGAATGATAGGTGGATTATTGTTGTACTGAATATCAAAGTTCAGAAAAAATAGTTTTACATATTTGGACTTTGTGCTCATAAGGTATACAATATATTTGACGGAATATTTTTGTATTAACCACAATTTATAATTCAAATAGGAGAGAAAGTACTTAAGGAAAGAGTTCACTTAAATGTTTTGGTGTTAGTACATTATAGATATTTTAATGTTTTACCAGTATTTTAACAATAGATGACAAAAAGAGTAATAACTGATACATTCTCCAAGTTTTATTAACCGCAGTACAGTACTGCTAATACAATTTTTGTACACTAAATTTTTAAAGGGTTCAGCTTATGCTCATTTTACATATACTAGATCATGGTTCATCAGCCACGCTAAGCCTTGTTTGAGCTTAGCATAATGTGTGAAGCCAGCTTTTGTGGACTATTATTATAGCTCTGTAGACTATATGAATGAAGCCATTAAATAAAGCATAAGCGAAGGCAAGGATATTTAAAAGATAGGAACTCCATGGACATACTAATTTGCCCTTCTGGCTCTACACCTGAGCTGCACTGATAAAAAGCTGCAACTGATAAAAAGCTGCACTGATGAAAACTGCTCCATAAAAAGCTTTCTGAAAACTGCCATAGTGTTGAGGAAGACAAGCTTCATTGTACAGGATGTATTATACTATTATATTAATAAGCCTGAATTACTTTATTGTCTCTCAATCTGCTTAATATAAACACCTTAAGAAGAAAGAAATTATATAATGCTATTGCTTGGTTAAAAAACTGAATGTAAGATCAATAAGAAGAAGCTAGGCATCTTATGTTAATCCTGCATAAAACCTAAAAAGCATCTTTGAGAATATTTACAACTATGCAGTCTTTTAGTCAATGGAAAACAACTGGATTAAAATTACTGTATTATTTATTACATTTATCACATTTATTTACTTTTTTTAAAAAAAAATGACTCAGTGTGGCATGCATAGTGCTATCCGCACAACAACCATCCTGTGAGTTGGGTACTAAGACAAGGCTAGTCTAGGGTCACTCAACCAGTTTCTATATCCAAGAGAAGATTAGAATTCAGCCTCCTGTTCTCTAGTGCAGTGTCTTGACTCTATCCTAAACTGGTTCAGACCTTAAGTTGAACATTTAATAAATTATTAACAGCATCAAAGCCAGAGAAGCGAAAGCCTACCTTTAATTTCATCCAGGCTTCCTTCTCTTCTTCTTTCAAGTTCTTTCCGGTCATAATTTAATCTTCGGAGACACATAATGCCACACTGGAAACTATTTCTTTAAAAGTGTTTTAAAAAGAGAGAGATTAAGCACTGCAATTGAAATGTTTATTACTAATTACTATTTTAAATATATTTACCTGTGAAAACTGTCTACCATTTTAAGTTGACCACGAAGATCTTTTTTAGTTAAATGATCCAACATTCTAGCATCAACAAGACATTCCATAAAATAACTGCGATACTGAGGAAGTCCCAAACTAGGAAGCCATTCATTGCCAATCCATTCGTGGTTCATATCCCCATAGGCTAAAGTCTACAAAAAACACAGCAAAGGGTTATTTGAAAAAAAGGAGCTTTTACATATAAATCGGGGACTGAATCCAGCATTTTTCTCTACTGATAGGAATTTATCTAAGAGTCTTGTTTTCTTGACAGAATAAAAGATGTTAAATGTTCTAGTTTTTAATTCCTTATAGCTTCCCCATATTTTTAGATGATACATGGGATTGGAGGGAAAAACTGAAAAAGACTGCTTCTCCTCTGTTCAGCTAGAAGCTTCAACAGATCAGAAATATTTGCAAAAGTGTTTTGCTGCATTTACCAAAAGTCAACACAGGAAGTTTCAGTCATGGTAAAACGCATACCTTAAAATTTAAATCTACTTCACACTATTTTTATTATCTAGTGCTCACTAAAAAAACAGGTGAAGTATACATGGGAGATGAACAGTGGTGAGATTCAAATAATTTAACAACTGGTTCTCTGTACTAATGCTGGGTGGGCATGGCCATGGTATGCATGGCCAGGGGGTGTGACAGACAGCACTTGGCCTCCTGCACCTCTCTGGGAGCAAAAATGGAATGCCAGGGGAGGGCGCTGCCCACCTCCGTTTTGGACCTAGTAGGCCTCCCTGCAGCAAAAATGGACCATGGGGGCTCCACGTCGCATCCCCCCGTGCCCCGTTTTGGGCTTAGTGGGCTTCCTTGCACTTACCTGGGAGCCAAAACGAGGCACGGGGGGGACTCCTGGAAGGGGTGGGGAGGGGCCAGCCAACAATTTAACAACTGGTTTGGCCAAAGTGGTGCAAACTGGTTGAATTCCACTAGTGGAGATGAATATATGTAATCTCCATCCATATCCTCTGAGATCATATCAAACAGGAGTAATTCTCTAATATGCATCCATTCCTACCTAGAAATTTACATTAGTTTTTCACATTTAATATATTTACCACAGTAAACACTACAGGACCATTCGCATGTACCTACTATTAATAAATAAGTGGAAGCTATTGTTAAAAGAAGCCTAACATCTTCTGATTCTGGAAGTTCTAACTATTAATATAATCTCAACTCCCAGTCTTAAGAATACATGTTGATTTATTTATTTAATTTCTATAGCCACCCATCTCAATCAATGCCTCTGGGCACCTTACAATTCAATTCAATTTTATAACTTTTGCAGGTTTTGTTTAAAAAAATCAACACCTATCAATTAAACATCTGAAAGATAAAATGTTTCACTGCGAGGCCAATCTGAGTGGCTTACAGCGTTAAACAATAAAGCGATAAAAATTTACATATATATTTAAACATTTAAATTGTTTTTAACACAGTAAGCCAAGCAGTCACCTTGCAGCAAGATGGGGAACAAACAAATTTAATAAATAAATAAATGTCAATTTCTAAAGTCTTTTAATATTTCAAAAATTATTCAAATAATTCAAATTATGAATATTTAAATAAGAATTATTCTGAAGAAAAACTGATTGATGTGTTTCTGTTAAATATATAGACACTGAAAATTGGATTTTATGATTTAATAAATCTGAGCTAAAGTTTAAACATGTAAAAGAAAAGTCTCCAACCTGAGCCCAGCTTCCTTCCTCATCTTCCTGACGTTAGGTAATTAGAAAAAGTAAAAGGACATACAGATGTTAGTATTTATAAATTTAGTAATGTAAGTAAACTGAAGGTAATGACCACAATCCAGGGCGCAAAAGAACTAAATAAACGTGTAAATCCATATAAAATTATTCTCAATAGACATTTTATCACTACATGTTTTCCTAAGTGTAGTTATCTATCCCCAAACAGTAAATATTTTTGAGTGTAAAATTATTTTTCTGGATTGTAGTCATATTTCAATAGTGAAAAAAGCAACATGCTATTTCAAGATAGAAGAAGCATGCATCTAAAATTGTGAATATATACATCTCTTACTATATTTATACCTTCAGGAAAATTGATATACCACATACTGCTTTATTTTTCCACACAAGTAGTAGCCTCTATATAAAAACTCAAGGAAAATTTTAAGTAGTGGCATCTCATACAAAATTAATGCATTGATCTTCTTTGAAATATACACAGGCAAATGATCTATTCTCCTCACCTACACAATGATCTTGGTGGAAAAACATTTTACAGCATGGCTGATAAGTGGGTTAGTTTTTAAAATCAATCATAATTAAGAATCTAATATTAATATTTCTATTTTTCCAGATGTACATGATTCAAGCAATCAAGAAGTAGGAGCACTTCCACAACTAACCGTTTGTGGTGTAGATGTAAGATTTTCCATTTCTTCATGCGTTACCCAGACATTTCCTGTAGTCTAAAATGACCCCATAATGAACCAATCACATCCAATGAAAGGAAAGCAGTAACAAAGAGGAAAGGTTGCAGAATATATAAGCAACAGGTGTGTTTAAGGAGCAGGCATGGGCAAAAGCAAGTTTCAAGACTATTAAGTATAAGCTCATGTGAAAAGCAAGCCCCACAGATAATATATTTATCTCCATTACATAGAAAACTATATTTAAATACAATTGTAATAAATAAAATTGCTCATTATGATTTCCAGACATGATATTTACACTGAGTACTTCAATTAGATTTTGGAGAGTGCTTCAGTTGATTTTAGGTTATTTGCCATAAACATCTACTTTCTCATCCGGAAAAATAATATACAGTACTTTAACAGGTCCTCTTGTGCACATTCATCCCACATTTTCTAGTTTATGGTAATACTCTAACAACAAAATTGTGAATTGCACTTGTTCTTTAGACTAGGATTGCAAGTCATTTTCCAAACAAAAAATCCTGGATTTAAGAACAAGTACAAACCACATTTTACTAGTAGAACACAAAGGGTACATATTTTATTACAAATCAGAAAGTAAGTACAACATGCAAGTTCAAGATTTAATTATGTACCAACAAGACATTATTTGACATTTTATATTAATCACTCCAGGGAACTGAGAAATTGGCTTTTAAGATCCAATTATTCTTTAATTGATTGTCTCCCATTTTTCTTTCAAATCAGTCTTTATCCACAGTTATTTTCATAAGAGGAACAGTTACCTGAAATTCTGTCATTCAAATGTTTTTAAATTACAGTTTGCAAAATATCCAGTCAGTCTAACTATTAGCAATGCTAGTTAGCTGGGAAATGAGGAAATTGTAATCCAACAGTTTTGGAAGAAATAAAATCATGGAAAACTATGCTAGCCTTAATTGCTAGGAGGGAGATGCATATACGCAGCCAGAATACATTCCAATTCAGATCTGGATGCATATCCACATTACAGATTTCATCTAGTTCCCATTGAATTTGCTGATGCTAGTCACACAGTGATCATTACAAATAACATGAAATTAAAATGTACTGGACAAAATATATTAAATGCACTATGAAACGTATCTAATTGAAATTTACCAATGATGGCCCTTGCTTACTAGAATATTACTTGGATAGAACTGTAGTACTATTTGCTTTATCAAAGTACCCATATGTAAAATATTTGGCATCTAAGTTATTTTGGCTTATCCACTATGTTTACTTGTTACCGCACCTTGTACAACAAAATTAAATGCCACCTTCAGTGTACGTTACACATTAAAAAAATAAACAAAAACACACGTCCTTCACATTCTATACCAGGGGTCGCCAACCTTTTGGACCTCAGGGACCACCAAACTCATAATTTTAGATTCCAGGGACCACTAACTGGTTATGTGGGTGTGGCCTAATTTATGGGTGTGATTTGGTGGTCATGTGACTGGCTGGGCATGGCTTGTATGTAAATATTATAAATATTTATATAAATATTGAATTTTTTACAAAAAAGAGCAACTTTTATCCAAAATCAGGCAAAGCAGGCAGATTGAGTTGCTCACAGAATCATTCGGTGATCTATCTATCTGCCATCGACTAGCTCAGTCTCTCAAATTTGTTTGCTGTGAGTCTGCACTGAATTTGCTTGCAAGCAAACCTTCAGTCCTAAGGGAGGTTTGGCTGTGCTTAGCTAGAAAGCAAGAAATACAACCATGTCCTGCTTCCTAGCTAATCTAAATCTCCCGGCACAGCAGAACAGATGGTTGGAAAAAGGAAAAATAGCAACTTAGCAGACAAGTTTCTGGGTAAGGAGTGAGTGGGCGGGGGGGGGGGTTCCCATGGGCCATGTGGGCTGAGCAGCCTTGTGTTTCTGTACAGCCTGGATTAATTGCTTTGGGGGGGGGTGCTCTGGGAGCGAGATTTCTCTGCAGCCCACCAAAATTTTCTCACGGCCCACTGGTTGGCGACCACTGATCTATCCCATTGAATGCCCCTGATATTGCATTAATATTGCACTATACAGAAGAACTTTTAATTTCCTAATAATTTTTAATTTCCTAAGAAAGGCTGTTAAATTCCTTTCACTTTTTTCTGTCCTGCATATCTCATCCTGCATCACTATAGAAAGCCTACTGATCCTCAAGAACAGATTTGTGCAAAGAAGGTCAATACATGACAGAAAAAAAACAATGGATCTACTGGATCCAGTCTCTTCTGGATTTACAAATTTAAAGCTCAGGCCAATAACCACTGGTTGGTCTCAGTAGCCAAAAATAAAGCTTCATTCTTTTGTTGTATTGTCATGTTTTTAAAACAAATTTCTCTTCCCTGCAATATATTGTAAACATTATAATAAGACAATATTGCAATTCCTTCTTTAGAATTAAGTTGGACTGTCTGCTACTTCACTTTCAAAGTACTTCAATGTCCTTGCTCACCAGAGAAATTGTATGTCAGCTTTTAAATAGTAAGCAGCTTAAGAAGTTATTACAGACTTAAATAAGCAGTTTATTTCTTGTCATTTGCTTAATTCTCACAACTCTATTTTTTACTCCCAAGAGCATCCTCTTATTCAAGAGAATAGCTTATGCCCATAACAAACGTGAATGAGTAGGAAGTCTGATTTTCTCATCAATCTCTTTGTCATTGTCCAAGTTTTCTTACCGTTCTTGATGTAGGAGGAGCCGAAGGACTTGTTAGTGACATAATTTCTTGTATGGCCAGTCTCAGTTTTAACCTATGTAAAGGATTACTGATTCCAATTTCACGCTGTATTTCAGTATCAGATAAGGCTGACATTATGGCACCACTTTTCACATTTGCACGGCAAGCAGCCACATACCAAGCTGGCATCCCAACCCACAACTGAAAAATAAAAAAAAAAATTACAAAAAGGTTCATAATTACTTAAAAGTTGCAAATTAAAGCATTATTATGTTGAACTAAAAACATTTCTTACCTCTAACCAGACAACCACCGTGGGACCATCCCACTGAGCAAAAGGCAGACCCTGCCTCCGAGCTTCTTCAAGAAGTTCATGCCTAAGAAAATCAGCAATGTACATTAAGATAGTTGCTTTGCTACTGCCCTCTATAATCTTTCTTCTTTCATTAATTTTATTATACATTGATCAAAAAAACAAAGGGAACACTTAAACAACACAATGTAACTCCAAGTCAATCACACTTCTGTGAAATCAAAATGTCCACTTAGGTAGCAACACTGATTGACAATCAATTTCACATGCTGTTGTGCAAATGGAATAGACAACAGGTGGAAAGCATAGGCAGTTAGCAAGGCATCCCCAATAAAGGAGTGGTTCTTCAGGTGGTGACCACAGACCACTTCTCAGTTCCTATGTTCTCTGGCTGGTGGTTTGGTCACTTTTGAATGCTGGCGGTGCTTTCACTCTAGTGGTAGCATGAGACTGAGTCTACAACCCACACAAGTGGCTCAGGTAGTGCAGCTCATCCAGGATGGCACATCAATGTGAGCTGTGGCAAGGTTTGCTTTGTCTGTCAGCATACTGTCCAGAGCATGGAGGCACTACCAGGAGACAGGTCAGTACATCAGGAGATGTGGAGGAGGCTGTAGGAGGGCAACAACCCAGCATCAGGACCACTACCTCCGCCTTTGTGCAAGGAGGGACAGGAGGAACACTGCCAGAGCCCTGTAAAATGACCTCGAGGGCCACAAATGTGCATGTGGCTGCTCAGTCAGAAACAGACTCCTTGAGGGTGGTATGGGGGCCCGATGTCCATAGGTGGGGGTTGTGCTTACAGCCCAACACCGTGCAGGACATTTGGCATTTGCCAGAGAACACCAAGATTGGCAAATTTGCCACTGGCACCCTGTGCTCTTCACAGATGAAAGCAGGTTCACACTGAGCAAACATGTGACAGATATGACAGGGTCTGGAGACACCGTGGAGAACATTCTGCTGCCTGCAACATCCTCCAGCATGACCGGTTTGGCAGTGGGTCAGTAATGGTGTGGGATGGCATTTCTTTAGGGTGCCGCACAGCCCTCCATATGCTCGCCAAAGGTAGCCTGACTGCCATTAGGTACCGAGATGAGATCCTCAGACCCCTTGTGAGACCATATGCTATGCGGTTGGCCCTGGGTTCCTCCTAATGCAAGACAATGCTAGACCTCATGTGGCTGGAGTGTGTCAGCAGTTCCTGCAAGACGAAGGCATTGATGCTATGGACTGGTCTGCCTGTTCCCCATACCTGAATCCAATTGAGCACATCTGGGACATCATGTCTCACTCCATCCACCAATGCCACGTTGCACCACAGACTGTCCAGGAGTTGGGGGATGCTTTAGTTCAGGTGTGGGAGGAGATCCCTCAGGAGACCATCTGCCACCTCATCAGGAGCATGCCCGGGCATTGTAGGGAGGTCATACAGGTATGTGGAGGCAACACACACTACTGAGCCTCATTTTGACTTGTTTTAAGGACATTACATCAAAGTTGGATCAGCCTGTAGTGTTTTTTTTCCACTTTAATTTTGAGTGTAACTCGAAATCCAGACCTCCACGGGTTGCTAAATTTGATTTCCACTGATAATTTTTGTGAGATTTTGTTGTCAGCACATTCAACTATGTAATGAACAAAGTATTTAATAAGAATATTTCATTCATTCAGATCTAGGATGTCTTATTTTTGTGTTCCCTTTATTTTTTTGAGCAGTGTACATAATTGGAAGCTGCAAATTTTCCCAAGTTGGGTAGAACTGTAACATCTGTCCCTTTAAAAGTCAAATAAGTCATGAAGAAGTTTCAAACCTAAGTTTCCTTAATATATTGGAACTTACTTTTTCTGCAGTTTTCTATTCTTTTCTGCTTGTCCTCCAAGTTTTCCAAGCCCCAAACCATCCTGAGTTGAACTTTCTGCTTCTAATGCACTAACTGTAAGAAACAGGAATTGCAGTGATAAATATCTTCTCCAGTTTTTGAATCAGTGTTAGATGTGTATACAAAAGGGAATGGCACATCTCTATCATTATGTCTGCTGTCCAGCAATCAATGCACTGCTATCCTAATTATTTAGTGACTTTAAATTCATATTATTTATGAATTTAATTCATATATAAATATTGATGGTACATATATTATGTGGGGCATTCAAATAATTAAATTCAAATACACAATTCATTTGAGGAACACTCAATGAAATGCAGCCATTGAAACTAAAGTAACTGCACCCCCCCAAAGATCTGGCATGGCTACTTGAAGAGTCTTTCCTAATCATCCTTGCAAATATGTGCAAATATAGGAGACACTTTTGCTGGGCGTATAGCTTATGAGAGGATCCGTGAATTATAGCAGCTCAAGTATAAAATGAACATTCAAACCATAAAAGATCTGTACCCAAACAAACATCACAAAAATTAGTACTTTCATACAAAATCATATGGTTATTAACTGCCTGTGATCTATGACTTTGATACATATCTGAGATATAGCATTTATGAGTAGGAGAGTTAACTGTATTGTTTATGTTAGGTTCTGCTAATTTGAATAATGTAGAAATAAAAAGACAACTGTCTTTTGCTAGAAATTATTATTTTTTACTTTACATATTACAAATAAGTACTTTGTGTAATAGTAATCCTAGCGTTTATTTATATTTTGGCTTAGTAATATACCAACCTTGTCCCAAGAGCTCTTTATTCATCTGTCCAGATCGACCCTTTTCTTTCTTACCAAACAGGCGGCCAATTGAAGATTTGATCCCTTTCTTTTTAGGAGCTTTGTGGAGGGAATCTTGACTGCTATTACTGCTACTGGGATTGCTTACTTGTCCATCTTGAGAGCCTGTGGAACTGTAAGAAAGAAATTGCTAAGCCATTTCTAAAGTTTTTGTTACCCATGACTAATCTGATCCAGGATCATTCAACTAATAAGTAGTAAATACAGCTATATTTAAATGTCACAGTACACATTCAGCCTTAATGGTTTGAGTGCAAAAGAAATACAAATGAAAGTAAAGGCCTGCACAAATGAACAAAAGAAATTAAAAAAAATACTAGTGATAAAGAGAACATTTAGAAAACAGGCAGCAATGCAAACTGGTCTTTGGAGGACAAAGGAACAAATGATATAACCATACAAAGTTGTTCTGATACAGATACATCTGAATACAGATACATCTACATACTGATACATCTTTATTCAAAACACTTACTTTCGAAGATCTCTTATATCTTCCTGGCTCACTGTATGCAAAGCTCCTTTATAAGATTTGTCCAAATGCAGTGATCGAGGTGAAGATGGTGGTGAGGTCTCACATTTTATTGTAGCTTTGTCATCTCTAACTTCTTCTCTAGAAACTGCAGACTAAGAATGAATGCAACTTAAGTATGTCTTCCATCTAATACTAACATGTGAAAACAGACAAGTAGCAAATTTTAAACTATTACAAATTTCTTTGTCTCAGAAATTGCTATTTCCATAGGTGATTAAATTATCTGACACAATAAAGCTATACAAATAAGAAGACATGCTTAAATTTTTTTATCATAAGTAGCCATGGTAATGCACAAGGAACAATCTATCTTGCAGCTGAACTGTATAAATTTGAAATTGCTTTTGAAAGATCTGAAATTAATTTCCTGAAATTAATAGGTAGAATTCAAAGAATTCAAGAGTGTTTTACCACATATTTTTCTTAAAATTTTCCATAAAACAGAAATTTAGAGGTTCTACAGCCAGATGCCCCCCAAAAAATCAGAAAAAGGAGAGTCAGAGTGTATTATAATCAGAAATGCAGTCCTTCAACTACCCAATCATTCTCTAGATTGAATTCAAACATAGCTACATGTAAAGGTCAAAATGATTTCCATTTCATTTCAGTAATACTTACTGAAATCTGATTTGGACAATCAGAGGTTAGATAACATGATGCTGCTATTGCTCTTTTAAAGAAATCTAAAGCAGAGGAACAGGAAGTACAGAAATCTTTTTTCTATATATAGGGTTTCAGTCTACCCTGTACCTTTTACATTATTTCTTTGAAAGAGCAAGAGCATATAACTAAAGGTGAAACTCAAAAAATTAGAATATCGTGCAAAAGTCCATTTATTTCAGTAATGCAACTTAAAAGGTGAAACTAATATATGAGATAGACTCATTACATGCAAAGCAAGATAGTTCAAGCCGTGATTTGACATAATTGTGTTGATTACGGCTTACAACTCATGAAAACCCCAAATCCACAATCTCAGAAAATTAGAATATTACATGCAATCAATAAAACAAGGATTGTACATAGAACAATATCGGACCTCTGAAAATTATAAGCATGCATATGTACTCAGTACTTGGTTTGGGCCCCTTTTGCAGCAATTATTGCCTCAATGCAGTGTGGCATGGAAGCTATCAGCCTGTGGCACTGCTGAGGTCTTATGGAAGACCAGGACGCTTCAATAGTGGCCTTCAGCTCTTCTGCATTGTTCGGTCTCATGTCTCTCATCTTTTTCTTGGCAATGCCCCATAGATTCTCTGTGCGGTTCAGGTCAGGCGAGTTTGCTGGTCAATCAAGCACAGTAATCCCACGATCATTGAGCCAGGTTTTGGCGCTTTTGGCAGTTGTGGGCAGGTGCCAAATCCTGCTGGAAAATGAAGTCAGCATCCCCATAAAGCTCGTCTGTGGAAGGAAGCATGAAGTGCTCCAAAATCTCCCGAGAGACAGCTGTGTTGACCCTGGACTTAATGAAGCACAGTGGACCAACACCAGCAGATGACATGGCTCCCCAAATCAACACAGACTGTGGAAACTTCACACTGGACTTCAAGCATCTTGCAGTGTGTGCCTCTCCATTCTTCCTCCAGACTCTGGGTCCTTGGTTTCCAAATGAGATGCAAAAGTTGCTCTCATCAGAAAAGAGGACTTTGGGCCATTGAGCAACAGACCAGTTCTGTTTTTCTTTAGCCCAGGTAAGATGTTTCTGAAGTTGTTTGTTATTCAGGAGCAGCTTGACAAGAAGAATACGACATTTGAAGCCCTTGTCCAGGATCCGTCTGTGTGTGGTAGCTCTTGATGAATTGACTCCAGCCTCAGTCCACTCCTTGTGAAAGTCCCCAACACTTTTGAATGGCCTTTTCCTGACAATCCTCTCCAGGCTGCGGTCATCCCTGCTGCTTGTGCATCTTTTTCTTCCATACTTTTCCCTTCCACATAACTTTCTATTAATGTGCTTTGATACAGCACTTTGGGAACATCCAACTTCTTTTGCAATTACCTTTTGAGGCTTTCCCTCCTTATGGAGGGTGTCAATGATAGTTTTCTGCACAACTGTCAGGTCAGCAGTCTCTCCCATGATTGTGATTCCTACTGAACCAGACTGAGAGACCGTTTAAAGGCCCAGGAACCCTTTGCAGGTGTTATGGCTTAATTAGCTGATTAGAGTAGGACACTTTGAGCCTAGAATATTGAACCTTTTCACAATATTTTAATTTCTGAGATTGTGGATTTGGGGTTTTCGTGAGCTGTAAGCCATCATCATCTCAATTATGACACATCACTGCTTGAACTATCTTGCTTTGCATATGAGTCTATCTCATATATTAGTTTCACCTTTTAAGTTGCATTACTGAAATAAATGAACTTTTGCACGATATTCTAATGTTTCAAGTTTCATCTGTACAGTATCCAGTTTCTCTCTCTGCTTTTCAATGAAGAAAAGCTTAGTGGAACATATGTATCTGGAGAATAAGCAAACAGCAAAGATGGCCATATAGAAATAATTCATATAATACTCCTACAGTGGTCATGTTGACCAAGGCATTTTATACACACACTCTGCATGCAAACAATTGTATAATACTAGATTCAACACAAGTCTCTGGTTTAAGGTTTACCTTTCTATGGTGTTTCCTTAAATCACTAGGCTGACAGATGCATGCAAAGAAGAGAAAGTAAAATAAAGCAGATTGTTTTACTTTAAAAAGAATTAACAGAATGTTCTATCATTACCATTATTGCACCATTAATGTGAAGTAAAATACCTAGCTAGCTTTTTGATTAAATCATTATAATAACCAGGAAATATCTGAGTCCTAAAAGCATGGCTATAATTTATAGGAATTATGAATTCTCTTACAAGATAATCAACAACTATAAAGTTTTCAACAAATCAAGCTTAACTCTTGGTAACTTCACAGAGACATTTATGTAATTTTCTTGAAATCAAAGGGGAAGTTCTTCCCTATTGCTTTCTGAGATCCCAATCTAATCTGTTTTCCTGGTATTCTGGAGGCCTTCCATAGAAGTACAGGTAGACCTCGAGTTATAACAATGTGTTTAGTAACTGTTCAAAATTACAATGGCACTGAAAAAAGTGACTTATGACTGTTTTTCACACTTACAACCATTGCTGCATCCCCATGGTCATGCAATCAAAATTCAGATGCTTTTGCAACTGACTCATATTTATGACTGTTGCATGTCCCAGGTTCACATGATTACCTTTTGAGATCTTCTGAAAAAATCAACGTCAACTGGGCACGCCAGATTCATGTAACCGTGTTATTAACTTAAAAACTGCTGTGATTCACTCAAAAACTGTGACCAGTAAGATTGTAAAATGGGACAAAATTCACTTAACAACTGTTTTGTTTGGCAACTGAACTCTTAGGCTCATTTGTGGTGCTAAGTCGAGGACTGCTTGTACTAACCAGGTCCAGCCTAACTAGCTTCCATGCCTAGTCAAGAGGGAAAAGGAATTTAGGACAAGTTGCATTTTGCAAAAGATAGCTAAATCTACAATCCAGAACTTCATGAGGCCATTTAAGTGGCTAAGTTCCACCATTCCCTGTATGATTAAAGAAGTCAGTGTTAAAGTTACTAGCATGAGACTATTTTCTTATATAAGACAAGAAATCATGGCTAGGGGTTGCTGTTTTTTATTACTGCTAAAGGATAAATCAAGGAGTTCCATTCATAAACAGTGCCATGATCATCATGTAAAATGGAGAAAATACTAGAGATGTATTTTCTTACGGGGGAAGGAAAGAGGAAAGATGAAACAGGTAATACTTACTAATGTCATAATTCCTAGTCTGTCTACTTCTCGAGCAGGACTGTGTGGCATTCTTCGAGGAGTAGAAAGCCCACTACCTGGTGGAGAGGAGCCAGAAAGGTTTCTGCTAGGAAAGGGGGGTGGGATAGAGTTCATTGATCGAAATTGACCAGGATTGTCTAAACTCCCACCATCAACACGGCTTTCTATCTCCTCTGCTCTTTGCTCAGTGTTTTCCTTTTCTTCTTGGATCAATCTAAAAAATTAACAAATGATGCAATTCATTTAACCAAAGCAATACTGCAACCAGCAAGTACAACAGCTGGCGTATATCGAAATGTATCTACAGCCCAATGGCAAATTTGGGAAAGGATACATATTTAAGCTCCAAACAGAACAAAGTAAATAAAGGCAATCTACATGCTGAATTTGTTTATCAACATCTGTTGAATTATTTTAAGTATACTTTCATGTAATATGAAATTACTGAATTATAGAATTAACCTTAGGATCTGTATAGAATTGCTTGATACAATTGTAGGAATAAAATAGAAACATAATTTTCAAATAAAGACTGCTGAAATTATTCCATGCAGTACAAACTCCAGTTCATTGGAGTTAGGTGGCCAATACACACACACATATACACAATTATCAATTAAGATCAAAAATAATTTATAATTAAATTGATTTAGAAAAAAAATGCATCTTAGCAAGTACTTTTCTTAAAAATTCATTGACAATTACAATTAGTTGGGATAAATAAGTTGTAGTATCTAAATTTTAATATATACCCTATTATAAATCATAATGAAAGATAACCAACCAATATCCTATTTCTTAATAACACATCACTGAAGAAATGTTTATTCAGATTCAGATTCTTACAATAAGAGCAGTTAGGGTTACCCTAACCCTATTTTTGGGGAAATGAAAAACTTTGCTTGCTAATTCTAGCCAACAGAAAATAAGTTGCTTTACAGAGATTACTGCCTTGATCGTCCTGTTTTTCAGTATTCAGTAGTATAATGAATTGGTAAGCAAAACAAAAAACAAAAAAGTTATTGATAGCTAAAACTCATCTCATCGATTACAACCCATAAAATATTAATTTAGTTTGTATATTTCTGATAAAATTCATGGCATGGACTAGGTTATCTGAGGGACCTCCCCCATTGTATCTACCCACTCCACCAGATCTGGCCAAGAGGGTACGCTGTAGTCATGTCCTGTCAGTGAATTACATTTGGCAAGTCCCAGGAGACAAGCCTTCTTTGACAGGGCAACAGTCTTTAGGAATCCCCCTCCCCCCTTACAGAATGGGGTCCTAATATTATTAGTTGCACCTACAGGTCAAGCCACTGAAAGGAAGCGAGCCTTCTAATGTTATGTGAATAAAAGGGCATTAGTGAACTTCAAATGTAACACTGGAAAACAATGACAAAAAGAAATCCTGTACCTAATTTCTTTATTGATGGCATCCAATTGCTCCTGAAGCATCATGGCTAAGGTCTGTGCATCTGCCTGACCACTAGGTGACAAGAGATCAACTGAGCTGAATATAGTTTCTCTGTCCTCTTCGCCATCTGAGATATCAGCATCACTCTCAAAGGCTTGTGCAACATTTGCCAACACACTTGCTTGTTGTGCACGTTCCCAATCTTGCTCATTAAGAGTCTGAACCTGTTTAATACATAATTACAGCTGTAATTTTAAATATCTCTTTCATTAATAAATAATTATATATATAGTCTGTATAACTTCACTTACATGCTGCAGAAATCAATCACAACAGCAGTATTTAGAATGCAGTAAAAGCAAAACAAACATTAGATTATATTCACGGAACATACTTTATGATCAAAAACCAAGAAATTCAATATATAAAGACAACATTATAAAATAACAATAAGCAAGACTTATTTAAAAACTTCTGTATGTGTAGTTTTTAATAACAGAAAAAAACCTATACAGACTAATAGCAAAGGAGTCTAGAGAATCTTTGTTTAACTGAAAACGAATCGTGTACCAGTGAAACTGTCCTTTGATTCCCATTTGGCTACTCCTGTTAAGAAATACTTAGTGTGTCAACTATTGCTTAATCCTGCCCCCCCCCCGCCCCCCCACTTTATCAGGCAGAATTAATAGGAAGACACAAGCTTTATTTTAAAACCCAGGCTTGTAAAGAAGGAACAAAGTAGGATTAGATGATTTACTCAATAAAATACACATGCAACTTGGTCTTGACAAATCAGGATCCATTAGAATCCCAGTTTATGTGAACACAGCATACAGGCTAGATCCAGATTTCCCCGATTAAATTTCACTTAAGAGAAACAGAAATGGGGAATATGCAAGTATCAACCTTTTTCTATCTAGCAGGAGCCAAGGCTGGGTCTGACTCTATTCCACAATGGGAAATAGTTTTAAGTTGTGAAATAGTAAGTCTAGATCCAATCTCTATGCAAATGCTTTTAGATGCACCGGTGAAGCTGTTGGACTAGTACCTGGGAGATCAGATTGGGTGATTTTTGAGCCAATCACTATATGTCTCAGCCCAACCTATCATACTGGGCTGTTCTGGTGGAATAACAGTAGGAGAGAGTGCTATGTAAGCTGCCTTGAGCTCCTGGAGAAAAAGCAGGATATAAATGAAAGAATCAAAATAGCAGATGGAGAACCATCGTAAATTAAAATATCTGTTTCCAGTTTCCTGGTAAGCAATGTTGAAATCAACTGTCTTATCTGTTTAATGCTACATACAAAGTACCAACCAAATATTTAAAACCAGCTGCCCAACTCTGGGGCTGGATGCAGTAATCTATGATAGCTTATCAAGCAAACATTCCACATAAATCTTACTTCTGTAGGAGGACTGAGGGAAGATTAATTTTGCATAATTAGTACAGTGCAATGCATTGAGTTATTGAAGTATTGTAAGTAATGAATATAGCCTTATTTGATATTGATATATGAATATAAACATACACATGCACTGAAGTCTGAACAATTTTGCTTTTGCTATGGTTATATTTTGCAATTCATATTCCCATCTGCCTCCTGCATTAAGACTTGCTCATAACAGCTGCTTCAAATGCATGTTTTTAAATACAGAACCTGAAATACATAGTTCTCAGTCTTGTAGCAAAACAAGCTATATGGAATGTTATTTACTTTAAAGTAAAAATGTTTCAGGGTAAACAGTCTTCCCCAATATAAAACAATAAAATCAACAATAGCACAGCCCAAGCCACCTATACGTAATGGTATTAGCATAGTTTTAGACCAGATAAAAAGCAGGCAAACCTTTGAAGACTTATATCAATAAACTGAACCAGTTTAGTTTAATGCAATAGACTAGAAGCAGAAAAACCTAGTCTTGCTTTAGCTCTAGGAAGACAATGGCAAATCACTTTTCAAAACATTATCTAGAAAATTGCATAGAATTCTCCATGCAGGGGGAGTCAAGACTGACTTGAAGATAAATTAATAAATATTTTTAAATGGTGCACTAGCTTAAGCTATTTTAAAAATTAATTGCTTAAATTCCCACTTACCCTTGAAGGTTCATCTCGCAGAGCTGCTAAGCGTCCTTTCTGGGGCCGTCTTAGAACTGAGGTACTGTAGGAATCTGTCTGATTGTCTGCTATAACTGAAGGTGCCAGTGGATATCTAAAATCTGGTACACTACCTAAATGTGGCCCTCTGAAATGAAAACAGATGCACATTTAGCATTAATAATTACTCTCCTATAGGTTCGTTAGTTGTTGACAGTGAAATGAATTAATTTAACACATCTTGAATGCAGAACTATTTTTATTAATAATTATACCTATGATGAAGGGCAGGGGCCCTGATCCTTAACTGGTCATTTTCAGCCCTTATTGCTTCAATGTTTACTACCAACTGATCCTGTAAAAAAGAAAGATTATTCACATAACTTAATGTTACAGGTGCATACTTTTTTAAACATGTCCAAATATTTTAGATAATTCTAAATTTTAAATTTGAGTGCCTTTTGAATAAAAACAAAAATATTTTGTGTTATCACCAAAATACACTTCATTCTTTCATTATTACTAGTATAGCTATGAATAATTTAACTGGTTCACCAAACACAGGTTTTGAAAAAAGAAGTGAAGCAAAATAGTTAAGATCCACAATCAGCTACAGTTTTGTACAATTACAAACCCCAAAAAAATCACAATTTGTGCATAGTTGTAATGGATTATTATGTTTGGGCTACTATATTATCCTTGGCATGAAACCTTTAAAACTATGGAAAGTGAAATATTATTGCTAGTGCAGAAATGACTGCAACAAAAAGGTATAACATATTAAAACTTCACAAAAGTTAAGTCTCATTTTTATTTTATTTTTTCATTACAACTTAAGACATCATTTTTATTTTCATTTTTACCTTTTCATTTTGAAGCTCCTCCACCTGTTTCTTGGTGCTTTCTATTTCATGGAGAAGGGAATTCTGGTATTAAAGTTAATTCAAAAGTTCATTAATACAAAGAGCTGTTAAGATTTGGGTCTGCATTTTTTTTTAAAAAAGTACTCTTTACTATTTTACTTTTACAATTATAAAATACTTAACTCTTCCATTTATCCTGGCTGATATACTCATTCTTTGCAACCTTTCTACTAAACAAGGCCCTATGCTTTCTACTTATTTAAAAACAACATAGAGTATTATTTATTTCTTGATCCCCAGATCCTAAGTTTCAGGATAGGAAGATGCATAACAGTTAATTCAGTCCACTGTATACGTAGATATAATTGCTTTTTGTTGCCAATAAGAAAGGAGAGACTGTAGCACTAGACTGTCATTACTTTTATCTATTAACAACTGTAGATAGAGATAGAGATAGATAGATAGATAGATAGATAGATAGATAGATAGATAGATAGATAGATAGATAGATA